GGATGTTTTAGATATGGTTCTATCTTTTGATACAACACACCATTGTATAATTTGATGTTTTAGATATGGTTCTATCGTTTGAAACAACACAGCATTGTACAATTGGATGTTTTAGATATGGTTCTATAGTTTGAAACAACACAGCATTGTACAATTGGATGTTTTAGATATGGTTCTATCGTTTGATACAACACAGCATTGTACAATTGGATGTTTTAGATATGGATCTATCGTTTGAAACAACACAGCATTGTACAATTGGATGTTTTAGATATGGTTCTATCGTTTGAAACAACACAGCATTGTACACTTGGATGTTTTAGATATGGTTCTATCGTTTGAAACAACACAGCATTGTACAATTGGATGTTTTAGATATGGTTCTATCGTTTGAAACAACACAGCATTGTACAATTGGATGTTTTAGATATGGTTCTATCGTTTGATACAACACACCATTGTACAATTTGATGTTTTAGATATGGTTCTATAGTTTGAAACAACACAGCATTGTACAATTGGATGTTTTAGATATGGTTCTATCGTTTGAAACAACACAGCATTGTACAATTGGATGTTTTAAATATGGTTCTATCGTTTGAAACAACACAGCATTGTACAATTGGATGTTTTAGATATGGTTCTATCGTTTGAAACAACACAGCATTGTATAATTGGATGTTTTAGATATGGTTCTATCGTTTGATACAACACAGCATTGTACAATTGGATGTTTTAGATATGGTTCTATCGTTTGAAACAACACAGCATTGTACACTTGGATGTTTTAGATATGGTTCTATCGTTTGATACAACACAGCATTGTACAATTGGATGTTTTAGATATGGATCTATCGTTTGAAACAACACAGCATTGTACAATTGGATGTTTTAGATATGGTTCTATCGTTTGATACAACACACCATTGTATAATTTCTACAAAATCTATACCAAGATAGCAAACTTTGTTGTGTCGATTGTACAATTGGATGTTTTAGATATGGTTCTATCGTTTGATACAACACACCATTGTACAATTTGATGTTTTAGATATGGTTCTATCGTTTGAAACAACACAGCATTGTACAATTGGATGTTTTAGATATGGTTCTATCGTTTGAAACAACACAGCATTGTACAATTGGATGTTTTAAATATGGTTCTATCGTTTGATACAACACAGCATTGTACAATTGGATGTTTTAGATATGGATCTATCGTTTGAAACAACACAGCATTGTACAATTGGATGTTTTAGATATGGTTCTATCGTTTGAAACAACACATCATTGTACAATTGGATGTTTTAGATATGGTTCTATCGTTTGAAACAACACAGCATTGTACACTTGGATGTTTTAGATATGGTTCTATCATTTGAAACAACACAGCATTGTACAATTGGATGTTTTAGATATGGATCTATCATTTGAAACAGTACACTTGGATGTTCACACCCAACGATATTTTCCACAGCAAGGCCTGGCACAGCTCGGCGGAAACTTTAGACCAGTTACTTTATTGTACACACAGACACACACACGCGCAAATTGTTGACCACGCCTTAACTTTAAAAAAACTGCGCCGATGAACTGTTCTAAAAAATCGTGTCCATTTTCACCACAGTCTTATATTAGCGCATGGCTGGACGGTAAGCGTCCCAACAGATCATCTTTGTTGTCCGTTATTTCCAGGATATCTATCAGTAAAATCCGGTGTTTGCAAAAGACGTAGTTGTTCCACAACAGGGATTCTCCACATTTTTTTTTCCCCCCCCCCCCCGGTGGCCCACTTTGAATTCGTATTTACCTCCGTGACCCCCCCCCCTCTCCCTTTCCTTGTGATTAATAAATATATTTTTAACTGCCATTTTTTTTTCTATACATCAAGTACTTTTTAAAAAGTTTTTTTGTGTGTGGCCGTAGCCCCAACTGAGAAACGCTGCTCTACAACGCCGAGGTTTCTTAAGTAGGCCACAGACCTGGACGGTAAAAAAAATATAAGTATCTCATTCCCAGTTATCTAGGACCAGAAGTTTAGTGGCTGCACTCACCACACCTGGAAGGTGCGGCCTTTGACCGATAACAACAGCGGCGCAGACGGGGAATTTGGACGAGTCTCCGGATGTTTTGACACAGGTTCACGTTGCTAAGAAACGGTAGAAACTTTCAATTTCACATAATTCAAGGCCAGGCACGTGATCAGGTCACGCGGTATATCGTAGTGGAGTATTTTCTTTTAAATAAATCTGCATTTTGAAGAAAAAAAAAAGGGGGGGGGGGA